ACCATCAACCCCTACTATATTCTATTGTCCCTCAAATATCCCCTATAGCCTAGATAATCTTGAGCCACCTGCTTCGACATTCCTTTCCATATCGTGCCGGAGACGATGGAAGTCAATGCTTTTTTTTTTAACATTGCATTGTAGATAAACGGGATAGGCGGCGCGGTCAGATCATATGATACCATAGGGCTGTCGTGCAAATGACTCTGGTTTGAATCCTAGATCAAGCATTCTTGAACGTGTGTTGTATGAAAAGGTTTGAAAGTTCTGCGCTAACTGGTCTCGGCTCTTGGAGACAGACGTCCACACCGAAGATCACGTCTATTAAACAAGCTTGCAGTTACGAAAACGTAGATTAATCCGTACAATACGATGCGATTTGGTACCCAAAAGGCAGTTCAGACATCAAACGAGTGCCGAGTGATTCCACGATATGAGTATTATGAGGACGTGTCGACTACAAGTCATGATTATTATGTGTAAAGAGAAAATAACGTATGTATTGAATATTTTTAAAAAACGTACGCGTATGTCCTTAGCAGTAAATAGCAGTAAAAGTTACTGCGCAAACATTTATTATGCCACACTTTTTCATTTTATAATAATGAGTTGAATAGCAGCTCATGAAAGGAATAATATCAAAATATGTGACTATGAAAACCTTTCGGGATAAGGCTTGACATTCTATGAGCATTATACGACAACACCGAGGCGAAACAATAACCGTTATAAAAACTTTATGCTTGAAATACAAGTCTCGACAACATTTCGATTTGATGGACAAACAATGGTCGTAAAGTTTTATTTCATCTCGGTGTCAAATCCGAGCAAGTGTCGTTTCGTGAGTATGGACTTCCTGCTTAAGGCAGGCCACGACGGGTTAAACACGGGACGTACCTGGTGATCACTGGGGGAGAAGGCTTCATCGTCACTCTGGTCAGTGCCCGAGTCTGGACCTGTGAATAGAGGAGACGGTCACTGTGAGATGGCGGGAGTCATACAAGCACAAGGCTGTACTACAGTGGGAACAAAGACATAGTGTTATTAATATGGTATGGTAAAGTATGGTATGGTATGGTATGGTATGGTATGGTATGGTATAGTATGGTATGGTATGCATGGTATGGTATGGTATGGTAAGGCAGAGTAGGGGTATGGCGTGGTGTGGTGTGGTGTGGTGTGGTGTGGTGTGGTGTGGTG